AAAAAAAAAAAAAAAAAAAAAAAACACCAAGTAGAAGTTGTACATTTCCTTCGGGATGGGATTTCAGAGGCTAAATTTCAAATTTCTTTGCTTCGAGCTGTAAAAAAAAAAATTATCCACTTAGTGTGTTCATTGCCTGTCTTACCCCAATCAGAAGTTCTGATAGGCAGTTTGGTATACCTTTAATAAATAAAATATGGGAAAAATGAATGAACTTTTCACTTAATGTAGTTTGGTTTGCTGAGAAGTCTCTCAAAGTGGGACTCTGGGGGTCAGTGGCTAAAGGAATCACAGCCACTCTGGTGTTCCTGTATTTAGTTCCACACAATTGCACAGGTCAATACCATGCACATTTCACCTGGGCTGGAATATGCAAAACTACCACCCACAGTGGGAAGCTACAGGAAGGCGGCTCGCACCAGCATGGGTGCTAAGCTGCTTGGCCCTGTGCCTTACCCCCAAGTTTTTGTTTTATGAGATAGGGTCTCGCTCTGTTGCCCAGGCTAAAGTGCAGTGGTATGATCTCAGCTCACTGCACCCCCACGTCCCAGGTTCCAGCTATTCTTGTGCCTCAGTCTCCAAGTAGCTGGGATTATAGGTACATGCCACCATGCCTGGCTAAATTTTGTATTTTTAGTAGAGACGGGGTTTCACCATGTTGGCCAGGCTGGTCTTGAACTCCTGATCTCAGGTGATCCGCCTGCCTTGGCCTCCCAAAGTGCTGGGTTTATAGGTATGAGCTGCTGCACCTGGCCTCTTACCCTCAATTCTGACCATCACTAAGTGCTATGATCTGAGAATGTTCCCCCGAAATGCCTGTGTTGAAACTTAATTGCCAGTGTGACAGTATTAATAGGTGGAGCCTTTGTGAGGGGATTAAGTTGCAAGGGCAGAGCCCTCATGAATGGCATTAGCGACTTTATTTATTTATTGGAGAGTCTCGTTCTGTCACCCAGGCTGGAGTGCAGTGGCACAATCTCTGCTCATTGTGACCTCTGCCTCCCAGGCCCAAGCAGTTCTCCTGCCTCAGCCTCCCAAGTAGCTGGGACTACAGGCACCTGCCACCAAACCTGGCTATGTTTTGGTATTTTAGTTGAGATGGGGTAGAGACGGGATTTCACCATGTTGCCTAGGGTGTTTCGAAATCCTGACTGCTCAGGCAGTCCACCAGCATCAGCCTCCCAAAGTGCTATGATAACAACCATGAGCCACCATGATCAGCCGCATTACTGACTGTATAACAGCGGTTCAGCCAGACACAGTGGCTCAGACCTGTAATCCCAGCAATTTGGGAGGCTGAGGTAGGAGGATCATTT